TTTTTTGATTTATTGTAGAGATGAGGTCTCGCTGCCCAGGCGGGTCTCGAACCCGCAGGCTCAGGCAATCCACTCACCTCAGCCTCCCAAAGGCGCGGGATTACAGGCTGAGCCACCGAGCCTTTTGTCGAGGAAGTTTACATTTACAGAAGAAATCCGCCTTAGCAAAGTGTCCGTATCGGGGAGAGGGCAAATGTTGAGATGAACTTTTGTTACCCGAGAGGCTGTATGCTTAAGGAGACGACCTTTCTTCACCTTGTATTTCCTCTCCTCGCCTTTTCACAACTTAACTGTGGTCACCATCTCCCAGAAAGCCCCAAGCCCTTGTGTAGCCGGGGAGACCATATAAGCTTCAAGCATCTGTCCCTTGTGAGACCCGCCTGCATATGTAGTTAAGTGTTTTGTTTTGTTTCTGTTCATCTGTCTTATGTCAAACTTAATTTGTAGCCCAGGCTAAGAATCTAGCAGGGTGGAGGGAAGCCAGCTTTTTCCTCCCCTACGCCTCAGTAACCTACCAGCTGAAGAAATAAAGCATTACTAAAGCCACCTGTAAGCCTTTCATCTTTGGAATGACCTGCCCTCCGAAGAAGTAATGGATTCTCTGAATTTACTATTAAGTTTATCACGCAAATTTTGAGTGACGTGGAGTAAATTCCTGAATGAGTATATTGTACTACTTTGCATGTCTTAACCAATATTTGGGTTATTGTTGAGGTTTATTCATATCGATATGTTAGTAACTTGCACTTTATTGACCTTATTCGTGTGCCAGGCACTGTTCTAAGCATATTACTTCATTTAATCCTTACAAACAACTCCTGTAAGAGAACTCTGATCTCCTTTTAATATGAAGAAACTAAGGCACAGACATATATCATATATATATTATATGAATATGCCATAATTTATTCATCCATTCTCCTGCTTCACATCTCTAATGCCTGAAACTTTGGAGGTATCCAAACACTAATTAAGGTATTGTATGTGGTAGCATTTGGGTTGCCCGTGATTTTGAAGTTATCAAGGTATCTAGTTTCTGAAGAGGCAGGAAGGGTATTTCATGATAATCAGCTAGAGCAAAAAGCATAGAGTGCTGACAATGCATGGAATATACAGGTAAAATTAATAATCTCACTAACTAAAATGCATGAAAAACTGTGGTGAAAGAGAAAACTAGAAAAGACTTCCACTTTCTAACCATATATATCCAAAATATTATTTCAGCATGAGATCAATATAAACTATTGAGATGTTACATTCTTTTTTTTCTTACTAACTCTTTACAGTTTGCTATTACACTAGCCACATTTCAGGTGCTGGGTAGGTGTATGACACAAGTGACTACAGTATTGAACAGCGCAGAACTATTCTATACCTTGAACCACTGCATATACCATTTGTTTTTAATGCAAACTGGTAAAGTAAAAATCAGAACAAACTAATATTTGGTGGCATTTCTTTTATTTTGTGGACTTTAGTTGCTCGGCTCTTTATGCTTTGGGTGCTTGCTACATTTGTTACTTTGTAAGGTTTCTAGTATTATTTCTTTACTATGTTTTGTTTGGTGATCAGAGACTGATTGCTGAAGAATGAGGCCTCTGGCCACCAGGGGTCAGCCTAACCATATTTCGATTAGCTTTTTTTAATGATTCATGTTTTTATTCAGTATTTTTTATAATCTGAAGATTTCTTAATGCTAAATTAAATTTAAACATCATAGTCTCACTTCCTTAGAGCTTATATGTTTCCTGACTTTGCTTTTAGTGTTGTGAGAAAGAAGAACAAATAATAACATAATGTGATCATACAGTTAATGCCTCTCGATTTTCTCTTCTGTAAATTGTATATTTTTGTCCTTTGTTCATTTCTTATTGAAGTTACTACCTTTGAAAAAACTGATTTGTAGTTAACTTTTTCCTTGGTCCCTTTAATTCAATCCAGAACTGATTAATCTTGATATGATTGAATTTATCATGTTTTGGTCTTGTACTTCATGTTTTTTTGTTTAAGAAGTCTTTCTCTGGCTTCAAATCACAAAGATACTCTTCTGCATTATGTTTGGTAATTCTATAGTTTTACCATTTCCGTTTTGGTATTTGATCCATCATGAGTCCTTTATATATGTCATTATATATATACTGTTTTACCCAGTTTTACTTTTCTTCATATAATGAGCGAGTTATACCGATATTCTATAACAAATGTTTCCATTCCTCCTTGATTTATGTGCCAACCTTATTTTACACTACAGACCCAAATTATATATCACTGTTTCTAAGTTCTGTTCTATTGGACTATTTGTTTATTCTTACACTGATTCCACCTCATTTTAATTTTTGTGACTTATTAGTAAGCTTTCATATCTTAAGGGCAAGATCCCACATACTCTTCTGTTAAGCAACTATGTGGGATTTTATTCTTTAAAGTTTCCATATAAACTTTAAAGTTTATTTTTACAATTTCTTAAAACATGTATTGAAATTGTATAAATTAATGTGGGGAAAGTCGATATCTTTATGATATTTATTGGTTTATCCAAGAGCATGGAATATCTATTTTAAATTATCGTTTTTTTGTATTAGATATTGTATATTATTGATTAGTTCCTATATGCTTTATAGATTTAGAGGTTTTGTTTTGTGTCGTTTCCCTCTTCTGTGAAATTTGCGTATATATGTTCTAGTTAGTATTGTTGGTATTGAAGTTATTAGTACCTAAGTTCAAACCCTGGCTCTATCACTTACTAGATGTATGACTTTGGTCAGGTAACTTAATTCTCATGTAAGATGGGGACATTAAAAATACCTACCTTGTAGGGGGGCTATTAGGAAAATTTTAAATCAGTTGACAATTGTGCAGTTACAAGAGTATTATCTGGCAAATAATAAATGCTGTGTAAGTAAGTAATGAATATTCTTAGGTTAATCTCAGTTCAGGAATTTACTGAGCTTTTTTAGTAGCTTTAAAAGTTTGTTTTTTAATTAGATGACCATATCATATGTAAATTAATAGTTTTTCTCTTCTAATTCTTACACTTTTCATTTTTATTTTTCTTAACATCGACTAGGGCTTTCAGTACTATGTCAGACAGTATCAGTAAACATGGTCATCTTCACTTAATTTCACTTTTAAAGAAATTATATCTAATCTCATTTACGATAACATTTGCTTTAAGTTTTTGGTAGATAACCTTTGCCAACTTGAGAAAGTTACTTTCTCTGTGTAGTTTGGTGAAAGGGTTTTGTTTGTTTTTTGAAGTATAAATAGGTGTTAAATAGTAACCTAAGAAAGGTTAAATATCCACAAATAAAATTATCCTTTTCCTCTTTAGTTTTGGTTATATTTATAAATTTTCTGAAGTCAAGCTTTTCTTGCTTTCTTGGGATAGGGTCTATTTGATTATAACATATACCTTTTTTCTTTGATGTACTTTTGGACTCCGTTAAGTAATATTTAGGACTTTTACAAGTGAATTGAGTTTGTACTTTTCTTTTTAGGCTCATTTCTAGATTTGAAATTAATTTTCATTATCTTCATAAAAAGAACTGGTCAGTTTTCATGCTTTTTTTCTTTTTTCTGGAACAGCTTATATAAAGTTGCTCATATGACCACAACCTTGAGGTCCCAGCAAGAGTCCTAACATCTAACGGCTCTACCAGCAAGACAGTCCCTTAAAACTAATCCCAACAAGCACCTCTAAAGGTAAAAAAGATATCTTTTATAACTCTCTATTTGGAGATTGGGGCATAAGGGATCTGCTTTTGCAAAAGTAGTTTTCTGGGCTAGAACTGTATACTTAAAAAAAAAAAAAAGTTGCCCAAGCCCGGCCCAGTGGTTCACATCTGTAAACCCAGCACTTTGGGAGGCCGAGGCAGGCAGATAGCTTGAGCCCAGGAATTTGAAACCAACTTGGGCAACATAGCAAGACCTTGTCTCTACCAAAAAATTAGCCAGGAATGGTGGTGTGCACTTGTAGTCCCAGCTACTCAGGAGGCTGAAACAGAAGGATCACTTGAACCCAGGAGGTTGAGGTTGCAGTGAGCTATGATCATGCCACTGTACTCTAGCCTGGGCAAAAAAATGAGACCCTGTCTCAAAAAAGAAAAGAAAAGAAAAAGGGAAAAAACACTGGCCAGTTATGTATGAACAAAGAACTAAAATGGTTCCAAACTCTTCTTCTCAGTTTTCTAATTGTACAAGCCATTACCAACAGGAAAATTAGCCAAAGCCTATGAGGTGGAAAGGGAAAGTCTATATAAGGCTTCTTATTTAGCTTCTATGTTCTTAGATACCCTAAAGTTAGATGAACAATAATGGTGCTTTATTTTGTTTGGTTTGGTGTTTTGTTTTGTTTTGTTTTGTCAGAATGTCACTCTGTCACCTGGCTGGAATGCAATGGCATGCTTATGGTTACCACAGTCTCGACCTGCTGGACTTTGCCAATCCTTCTGCCTCAGCGTTCCAAGTAGCTGGAACTATAGACGCACACCACCATGCCTGGTTAATTTTTTGATTTATTGTAGAGACAAGGTCTTGCCAAGTTGCCCAGGCTGGTCTCAAACTCCTGGGCTTAGGCAATCCTCTTGCCTCCGCCTCCCAAAGTGCTGGGATTACAGGTGTGAATCACTGTGTCCGGCCAACAATAATGTTATTTAGTGCTTTCAGGATTTAATGTCATGTCTCTAGTCTTCTCATTCACAGGCTAAGGCCCTTTCCAGATAGTCCAACAGCTAAATCACCAGTTCCCAAGGCCATTTGCATCGCCTGTGGAAAACATCGGATTCTTGTACACCAGAGTCCTTGACAGCTCATTCCATCATTCCCCCGGCACAAAAGTTGCTTTACCAGGACAACTAAGGCAACAACTGAGCTTGTTTTCATTACCAAGTAGATAAAATATCACTGCCAACAAAACAAGAGTACACAAAGTGTCCCTTCAAGGTATCATTACTAATTGAGACCATGCTAAGAAAATCAGCTTGCCTAGATGAGGACCCCTTCTCCTCTTGGGTAGCCAGGATTTGAAGGAGATACTCTGTGACCTGTGCCACTGGTAAGTGACTAACACTTTTACACACTGAACTGGTCCTGGGAACTGAGATGTCTTCTTTGTAAGTGAAGATTATACAACATAAGCTTGAAGAACTGCACGGTGCTGTGGGCCAGAGGCATTCTTTGTGTGTGCAATGGACTGAAAGACAAATTAATCTTGGTGAAAGGATTTTTCATCTCTTCTTTCTATTTACCAGTGTTAGTGTTCCCCTGGCTTAGATTATTACTTTTTTCTGGTTCTTCACTCTGGTTTTATTCCAATGGGTCCCAGAAATCCCTCTCCTGACCCCTTATCAGAATCAGAAAGTGAGGAAGAAGAAAACATTAGTTACCTAAATGAGAGTTCTGGGCAAGAATGGGATTCCTCTGAAGAAGAGGACCCCATTGTACCCAACTTAACGCCTCTTGAGAGTCTTGCCTGGCAGGTTAAGTGCCTTTTAAAATATTCTACAACATGGAAACCTTTAAATCCTAATTCCTGGTTATATCATGCTAAACTCTTGGATCCAAGCACACCAGTCCATATACTTCGAGAGATAGGTCTAAGACTCTCCCATTGCTCCCAGTGTGTCCCCAAACTGGAACCAATTCCTGAATGGCCTCCTCTGGCCTCTTGTGGAGTCCCACCTTTTCAAAAGCCTCTTATGAATCCCAGCCGGCTCTCTAGAGATTATGCCACTCTAAACGGTGCACTGCAGTTTGCCACCAAACAGTTAAGCCGAACATTGAGTAGAGCCACTCCCATACCTGAATATCTAAAACAGATCCCCAATTCATGTGTTTCTGGTTGTTGCTGTGGCTGGCTAACTAAAACAGTTAAGGAAACAACCCGCACTGAACCCATCAACACTACTTACTCTTACACTGACTTCCAAAAGGCAGTTAATAAACTCCTGACTGCGTCACTGTAAAGATCCACCATTTACTTTGATACCTCTGATGTTGCTACTTGAGAAAGGGATACAGATTTAATCTTTATGCAGGCCACAGTTGAGAAACAAATGGCTTTTCAACCAATCTGTGCCATGCCCTGGCAAGCCAAAATACTACGTAATATTTAATGTATATCCAAGGATCCTGTTACTCAACTATAGAAAATATGGATTGTGAGTCCTGTAGATAAACTGAGACTGTCAATGGAGAATTAGTCAAAAGAGACTAATTTTACAAAAGATAGGTTAAATATTCTCCACGCTGAGTCCTCACCCTCCCCACCCCAATTTGAATGGCTCTGCCTATTTGAATGGACTTTAAATAGAGACAGATTATTAACAAGATGGAGAACAGCCATTTCTCAAGGCTAGAAGTTGGCTACCCCAGTAATAACTTACTGAACATTTTCTTCTCTGACATTTATTTCTAGAGAGGTAGTTGAATTTAATTGAGCAACTATACAGAAGAGAATGGCAGAAATATGGATTTCTTTTCTAGCTTTTATATAGATATGCCTACATATGACACTCTTTAGAGATTCCTATTTTTTTGTAGTGAGTACAGTTTCAAACCTAGCCTATAGTAACTATTACTCCAAACCGATTATACATCTACTGTTATGCCATGAACATTCTATACCGTAGGCTCCCACCAGGCTGTCTCTGGCTGAATCAGCCTATAAGATCATCCCTTGGGACTAAACAGACCTGTTCTGTTGAGAATATATTTCCCAAATCCTGGCACTCAGACTTCTGTCAAGAGGAAATAAAATACATTTCTTTTTTTTTTTTTTTTTTTTTTTTTGAGTTGGAGTCTCACTCTGTTGCCCAGACTGGAGTGCAGTGGCCACTCCCGGCCACCTCAGCCTCGACCTGCTGGGCTCCAGCGATCCTTCCACCTCAGCCTTCCAAGTAGCTGGAACTACAGGCGCGTGCTACCACGCCCGGCTAATTTTTTGATTTATTGTAGAGATGAAGTCTCACCAAGTTGCCCAGGCAGGCCTTGAACCCGCGGGCTCAGGCAATCCACTCACCTCGGCCTCAGGCTGAGTCACCGAGCCCAGCCATAAAATACATTTCAAAAGATGAATGAGAAAGGATCAAGAGAGCATTTATGCTTTTAGTTTTAACTGCTAACAAGTTAAAATATTTCATCTATAACGTTTTCTGCAGAAGTTCATGCACTTTTTACATCCACTGCAAATTTTTGAGGAACACGTCTAATTTTAAAGAACCTTCTTGTAGAAAATTTCAGCCTAATACAATCTGCAATTAAGAGTTTTAGCATTGTTTTTCTAAGTAGATTAGATTTTCTTCTGTCTGAAAAAGGAAGAGTATATGCCGTTGTAAATGAGTCTTGCTGTGTTCATTTAAATGAGTCGAAAAAAATCAACATACATGAAATATATGAAATATATGTTAAATCTTTTTATAGACCCTACAATAAAATGAAATCTGTGTGTGGTCCCAGTTAACTAGGCATCTAAAGTGAATCAAAAAACAGATTGTTAAAAGTATATATCCTCTTCTTATAGCATTACGATAGATGTTCAAGGTCCACTATATGAGTGAGAGCATGTGTTACTCAGATCTTTGTTTCTGTGAGAGGACACTCAGGATTATAGACTCTAGTTCCATTTGGAATGACTGAGGATTCTCCAAGATAGAAAGTCAGAGGGGAGTGCAAATAAGACTGAGCACACTGTCTTGTAACCAAACAATTCAACCCTACTGAAAGGATGATGGGAAGTTTCTCAAGGAAGTCGAATATAGCTAAAAATCAGCAAGATGTATTTAGAATCTATAATACTCAGTGATATACCACAGAAACAAAGAACTAAGTACCACATGTTCTCACAAGGGGTCCCTAAACAATTATTATAACACTATAAGAAAGGGATTGGCAGTAGTGCGAAACTGCCGGGAAGTGGGGACACACTTCATCAATAAGGGTAACCGATCTAAAACCAGGAGACAAAAGTGAGGCCCAAACTTTACCTGTACAATGACCATGTATATACTTAACCCTGAATTGTACCTCATATATTTAAAATAAATAATAATAATAAAACAAGATGAACAACAACAAAAAAGTATATATCCTCTTCCTTATTTTAGTTTTGCTTTTTCCTGTTCTTCATAATAGCTGTATACAAAGTGACATCAAAAAATTGAAACAGATGTGGAATCACTTGTTGTATATGTATATCAACTCTAAGGGACAAGAAAAATGTTTATAACCTAGTGAATATTTCTACTGAGGTTTAGTTGTCCTGTCTAAAAGAAAAAGGAAGAAATGTGGTAGGTAGAAAAAAAGTAATTTCTAATGGAAATTATTAAGCTTAAGCCATATTATACTGTTAGTGTAACTGAATGTACAGAAACTTTTTATGTAGAGTTCTATGAAATTGATTTTTTTTAAATGTTACAAGAAACTTTTCTTTTAAAGGAAGGGTGGGCGGAAGTAGGGAAAAGGTCTGAAAATTAAAATATGTTGATGCTTATGTATCCATAATGTTCCTTTTTCTCTGTGTGTTTATATAAAAGTGCCTTGCTCATCAATTCATTTTTGCTATTCACTTTGAAAGGAAGTCTTTCCACTAGCTTGGCAGCTGAATAAACCAACAGCTTTGTAATATGCTGAACAGAGTATGGTCATTTGTCTTCAACAAATGAAATAGATCCTGCTTTGCTTAAGTCATAGTTAACATTCATTAAATAGTGAATAGAGTTAATAAATATAGTATCTGTATCTATATAGTATCTATATAATAGCTCTAATAGGAGTTGACTTGGCATGTCCAGAGAAGAAACACATCAGAAGAAGAAAATGTCTAGTATTCAGTCAAGACCCAGATTTGTACCTGTTTCCTTTTATTTTAATCCTAGGTTGCACAAAATGATAGGTACCTAAATAAGCCTTAAGTTTACTTTTTGTGAGCCCCAGACATCAGGATTTGGGGGTTAATTTACCACCCTTACACTCTTCCACTGGGGGCTTCTGGTAAAATGCAGTCACCATAATTAGGATAAAGAGAGATGAATTTATCCTCTGTTTAGATAAATATTAATCAAAGAAGGAAGAAAATAGGATTTCTAAGCCAATGGACATTCATAAATTATTTTAAGGTATTTTTTCTTTCTCAGTGCAGATAGGTGTTTTTGTCAAAGCATTCCAAATATCTTGAGCCTAGAAGACCATAATCATGTCTTTTAATCCCATCTGCTTCCTAAAGGAAAAAAATCCACATATACAAGGCAAGGGCAGATGGTGGATCATCTTAGTGGATTTTGCTGCCGGGGTTTCTCTCACACCTATCTATCTAAAAAAATTCTCTAATAAAAACAATGTTTTGGGATAAGCATAGGATCCTAAAACAAATAGGGATGTTAGACATCACTTGGATTATTTTCTTAAGCATAAATTGTCTTATATCTGGCTTTCTACTTTTTGCCCTAGTGTTAGGAAGCATGATGTCTTTTGGAGTTGCTCATTAGTTTTAAATTTATCTTGTTAGAAATTTAGTCGCCTGGGCATGGTGGCTCATGCCTATAATCCCAGCACTTCAGGAGGCCAAGGCAGGAGTATTTCTTGAGCCCAGGAGTTCAAGATGAGCCTAGGCAACATAGCAAGACGTCATTTCCACAAAAAAAAATTTTTTAATTGGCCAGGTGTTGTGGCACACACCTGTATCCCAGCTGCTTGGGAGGCTGAGGTGGAAGGATCTCATGAGCCCAGGGGGTTGAGGCTGTTGTTAGCTGTGATCATGTCACTGCACTCCAGCCTGGATAACAGAGGGAGACCCCCAACTCAAAAAAGAAATTTAGTCATTTGTCCAGTAATACAGAAGAGTGTCTACTATAGTCCAGACCCTGGGAATGCAAAATTAATAAGATACTGCAAATAAGAAATTCGCTTTAAAATATTTCAACCAATGTATGTCACCCAAAGCCAGTTTGCTCTCTAGGGTCACATTAAGTAAACCTAAACCCTAATCTGTATACTGGCTGTTCAAATATTGAATAGGTCTTATAGTGGAGGATCGATCATATAGGAGCATTGAATGGAGCAGCCATTCAAGTGTAATGGACATTCAACAGTTAAGCCTCACAAGGGATAGTCAGCCAAGGAAATTGTTAAAATACATAGATACTTATGTAAAGATTTAAGTTGTATAAAGTTTGCGAGGCAATGGCACAAAGATCAAGGCTTGAATTGTTTTACTCAGATGGCTAAAGCATATAGAAAAGCCCAGGAAGTCTGGGTAATGTCTCAGACTTCATGAGACAACTCTGTAAGGTGCTAGCAGATTAGTCTGCCAATGAACAATATCTATTGGATTGAAGTAGCTACACTAGCTGGAACCAACCACCAGGTACCTCTTTGTCAGCTTGTTAAAAGGAAAATCTCAGTGATGTATCTCTAACAATTTTAAACAGTTCGGTTGATGGCTACATAATTGTGAGTCTGTTGAGTCTGATAATTGTGTGTAGTCTGCCAAGCTCTTCCTTTCTTAGCAGCAGAAGATTATACACTGTAAAGGTATTGGAAGTGAAACCAAGATAATGGAAAGGATGAGGATACTGCAATGACCTGACACTTGATAGCTTCCCACCTCCTGTGAGCTGTGAGAGCTACAACCAGTCCTTCTCAATGAAATGTGGGAAATGAACGCCTCATTTTAAGAAAAAATAATAATGGTTTAACAGAAAGCAACAGGGTTGTTGCTTCTAAACTGTGGAATCAGTTAAAAATGCTAGTAACAGTTTATGGTTGAGTCATAAAGCAGTTAATTGACTGGAATTTGGTCAGTTTATTTGGGAAGATATAGGTGAATCTGACACATTTGAAAATTACTGGGATCATTTGGGGAGTTAGGCTCTATATAATCAATAATCATCCAAGAGACTCAGGATACTGGTCAGCCTCACAAGATTAGAACTAAGTTTCTAGTATACACAGAAAAGGAGCTGATGTATCAAGTTAGATTGCAACAGAAACCAGATGAAACAGTCCTAAAATGAGTGTTATACAGCTAGTAATTTAAGAAACTGGTAGTATATTCTTGTTTGGGGAAAAACTATGTTTGGGTTAACTGCCAAGATCATGCCTAATATTTTCCATCTATGGTAATCAGCTGTAGGACCTGACACTTCGCTATATCAACTGATGTTTTCCAGTATTTTAATTAGGCAATGGTTCACTAGAAGCAACTTCCTTTGGGGGAACCCAAACAAGTGGACCAATCTAAGGGTGTGGCCATTTTCCTTTTAAAAAAGATCCTAAATTGTCTTTATGGTTGCACCCTGAGTAACCAGAAGGGCTTGATAGAGTGGCAGACCACTGTGAAAAAAGTGATGGGCCAGCCACTATCTGGAGAACCCAAATGCCTAAATTACTTGAAATTTAGCATTCTTTTTTATTTTATTTTATTTTTTGAGTTGGAGTCTCACTCACTCTGTCGCCCAGACTGGAGTGCAGTGGCCACTCCCAGCCACCTCAGCCTCCACCTGCTGTGCTCCAGCGATCCTTCCACCTCAGCCTTCCGAGTAGCCGGAATTACAGGCGTGCACTACCACCCCCGGCTGATTTTTTGATTTATTGTAGAGATGAGGTCTCGCCAAGTTGCCCAGGTAGCTCTCGAACCTGCAGGCTTAGGCAGGCAACTCACATCAGCTTCCCAAGGCGCGGGATTGCAGGCTGAGCCACCGGCGGCTTGAAGGCTAGCA